TTATGACTATGAAAGACAATAGAAATGAAAATGTTTTCGACTTAAGTGAAGTCATGTCCAACTTTCAAAGGTTTTACTTTCATGGCCACAATACCTCAAAAACAGACATCGGTTTATGGAATACTTAATATAAGTGGGGTTTCAAAGCTACAAATCTCAGTGAAAGTTTTAACTAAGTAAAATACATGTATGAGACATGTCCAGACAGAAGGTCTAACATATCCGGAAATGAACAAGATTTAATTGACCAAATAAAGTTTGACAACAAAAAGCAACTGATTAAAAGTATACATGTTGGCTTAGGGAAAGAAACATCATCCGAGTGCCTTTTATTTATAAAAGCTTACTAATTCCTGTAAAATGCCAACTTTAGTCATTTCAGAAAGTTGTTAAATACTAATACATGTACATATATTAACATGTATTCTTAAATCTCGTAAAAAGCTAAATAAACCTTTTAGTTATAATGTCTTAGACAGGGAAAAAAGATAGATGCAATCTGTCTTTATAATGGAACCACATGTCACGTGAATACACTTGTTTCCCAGACCGATTTTATCTTATGATGAAGAACCCAACATAAATCATCTTGTTGAGGTCAACTATAAATAATTGTATTCCTCTGGGGAAATTATTGTCTTTTAGAGACTGACATCATTTAACTGGTATAATTTAACTGACATAACCAAGTTGATTTAGAAAATGTTCCCAAAAATATTAACAATATCCGACAAACATCCATTCATCCAAAGTCTTATTTTTCCAATGTACATGCTTTTTTATAGGCATAGCTAGGGATGTTTCCAGAATCTGTTGCAACTGGGACCAAAAATAACTTTTTAGTCCCAGGTTTCAACAAACAAAATAAAACAAAATAACTGCTTGTCGAGCCTTTCATATGTTTTGTTCTTGTTCTAGACTTTTGGATTTTTCTTTCAGAGATATTTTCATCAAGTGATTTGCTTGATGGTGACACTAAGTTCCCAAAATACCAGTCGGTTCTTATCTCAAGTTTGAAGGAAAGGGTCGAGAAGATGCGTTTGACCAAACATAGGGGGCAGTTACACAGGCAGAAAACCAGTTGCACAGCATTATTTAAATATATATTACATAAATTGAATAATAATTTGAATACATTGCTTCTAAAAATAATGACTGACAGCAATTTAAATTATATTTACCCCAAACAGCAAAAATCACACCTATGTGCAATCTTCATGAGGGTGCAGCATACTCCAGAATTCGCCCGATTCCTTAAAAAATTAACACTTACACACAGTGCAATCAATGACTTTTCATAAATGACCAATAAACTAAGTGTCTGTCATACGTTTAGATTTTTCACAAAATTTATCCAAAGTTTCTTACTTGATAGGCGCCAACTGTCAATGCTTGATTTTTAACTTTTTCACCTCCATTCGGAGAGTCACAAATACGTGCAAAACTACCAAAATGTTATGTTTCGGGTAAAACCCCAAAATACAGCTCATATTTCCTACACACAAACAAGATAGAATACAATGACAGAGAAATATCGGACTTCAAAACACCATGTCTGAGTCATTAAAAAGATTGACGGGGCCATCATTCGGATATGTCCCCAGCCCTCTTTGTTCCACAAACATCGTCATTCGGAGAATCCCGCCAATTATCACAGTCTTTATGCGGAGTTTGATCACAAGTATGGAATAGTTGTTGCTCACTTATGGCTTAAGGATCAGATGTCAATATTATAAAACTTCCGAAGTTTTGCAATAAATTTGTTTTTACATTTTTTTCTATGAAATACATGCACATCTACAAGCAAACAAGCGTGTTTTTATCACTCTTAAATAGTGTCTGTGAGAAAGAGATGCGTCTTTTCCCATATTGTTAGCATGGTATCGAAAAAGCAATTCCAGGAATCTATCTTTTCTGACAGATCTTTTTTACATGAAATGGTTAACAGAATCGTGCATTACATGATTACTTCTTTTGTCTATAATAGCCTTTTTACATAGAATTATGGATAATACCATTTTTGTTAAACAAATGCGTGAGTGTTTTCATTATTCGTCGTCTCTATTACTGCTGGGATGTCATTGAAAAACAAGTTTTGTTATAACCTATGACTGAACCGACACTTAGAATAGAGAAAAGCGGAAATATCCCTGAAGAATGCCAAAACGATAAAATGCAAGGAAAGGCCTTGCCAATCACCAATCGTAGCAAAATTGGCAAAAAAAATATGAATGTGAATTGATTTACAATATCAGAAAATATGAAAGTTTCCAATTACTATACATGTATATGTGTGTATGTTATATTATAAGTATCTACACACATGCGGATGTATTGATATTTTCACAATGCGCGTAACTCTCTTCAATGCAGTGCATCATTTATTGTTATTACATACAAGTATCTACATTGTTAGAACAAAGAAAATGACAAAAACATTTTTGCTCTAACCCTTTGATATAAGTAAAAATTACTTAAAATATAAACATCTAAATGCAGATTTCTCCATCAGATCATCTTCAAACCGCCCACGATGGTTTTAACAATCACTCAGACATACATACATTTACTTTTTTCGCATGCATAAAAAGAACTCACCATATCTTTATATCCATTCTACTGGTGTTTCACTTGTATAACCGCCTAACAAAGACATCTTACATAGTAATTTCGGCTGGCGTGAGTCATTTTGTAAAGAACATTTGTACCATACAAAGTCGATATTCCGATATTTAACGTGATCAAATTCTCTACATGAGAGACGCGGCGTTTATCGGAATTCTCTAACGCCAGACGACAATTGTCACGTGACTCTAACATAATTTCCGGACAGCCATATAGCCACTGGGGGGGACGCTATGAATGTAAAATCAGGACGTCAAAAATATCTTGTAATGATTAAAGCTTCTTTCAATCGTAAATAGATTCATGGGAAGCAATGTAAAAATATCTCACAATAATGAATTTGATTATTAAAGGCAAGTAACCGACGGAACATGTTCCCGAATAACTTCAACAAGAAGCATTCTGGCTGACCATTATGTTATATCGATTTTCATGCAGAAAAAAAAATTACGAGAACTCCCTGTGAGCAGTTCGGAACCAATTTTCTTGTCATTGCAATCTTCTGTGAAATACTCAGACCATGGGACGGATCTCTTGATTAGCAGCTGTCAATTTCAAATGCAAATACGCATCATCACATGACATGATTTGGGTCTTGTTTTCCTCCAATGTTTCCCAGATCTAGTCGGTGAAAAGTATGTATGAATAATAAAGTACAAGAGACGGGAAAAACATCCTAACATATGTTGTTTGAACCGTGACCGAAAAAAAAAATCAGAAGGTACCTGTAACAAATACTTAGTAAATGGTACCAAACGAAGCCGTCGGCCATAAAAAAAAATCGTCTACATCCGGACTAATTTTTGACATCATAATATAAAGTTGCTGCACTTTCGAGACAAGTTAAAATAATTTTGAAATGATGCAATTTAAATCACATTTCGTTTTCAAATAACATCTTATTCTTTCAAGTATAACGTTTTTAAATTGATCATGAACCCATCCACGACACTTCTGAGTAAACACAATGTTAGAAACATAAAAATTAAGATAATGGTGAGATCTATCGAGGGCACCGCAAACAAAGTCATAGAATAGAGAAAAAACAGAATCCGTAAGATAACCCAAACACGGCAAAATTGATTGAGCCTGCTCATGGACGGTAGTGATAATTGCAAGCTACCGTCCACGCCCCCTAGCACCGCCTTTAATTAGCAGAATTAACGATGAAAACTGCAGTCTCGGTTTGATTTAGTCTGTTGATGGAAGGTAATGATAGATGCAACATCTCTCGCGCCCGTAGCACCGGCTACAGCAATATTCAACGTATTGGCGTCAATAACACTTCCGATCTTGTGACGTAGGCACAGTCACGTGCCCAATCTGATGATGTCATGATGTCTCTAATGTTAGAGGCATACTTGCAACTTGGCAAGTACTTTGAAATAACCGCCATATTTGTTCAATGATGGTCTGTTGAAGTCAATGTGATACATGTATATCGTGATATTTTAACACAAAGCAATCTTAAATCACATTTCAGCTGACGGTTAGGAACATTATCCATTATAGTTTTTCTTAGATGATTTATGAGCTCTATTTTTTCTTGCTATTTTTCTTGCTGTTAACATGAAGGCAAGCAAACTCCTCGCAGCGGTTACTTCCCCTGATCAGTGTAGCAAAGCATGTCGTAACCGCTGTGAGGAGTTTGGAAGACACTTTGACAGTGTATATATATATTTGTTACACGTTTGTGAAGCTGGTTCACGCCGTGATCGACGTATGATCTAGCAGAACAGAACAGAACATATATTTAATTAGATTTGTACCAAAGGTACATTATCGTAACATACATTTGTATTTACAAAACAGATACTCATCGCCAGAAAAATGGCCATTTTTCACAATATGCTCATGAGGGAAAGGGTTAATACAAGATATTTTAAACATACAATATTCATCAAATTTCTTTTCTAAGATGATGGACTTAAACGTGTGTAGCAGATGTTCTTAAAGTCATAGCACGTTTAATACAAATAGCAAAATTTATGAGAATTTTTCTTTTATCATTTTTTAATAGTTCTATAAATTAAAACATGCTTGGTTTAACATGATAAATAATGTCATTCAACCACAGTATATACAATAACATTGATTACTCTCGATTCTTTGGGTACTGTGTCGACCTGTTTGAATGTTTACAGAATGTAAAGACAACCCTAATTGTGTTAAATAATTACAAGGCAAAATATCTAAATACTTTTCATACTCAAAAATCACTTTTATTATGATTATGTACTACTAAAAGAGGACTGTTTTCCATATTTAAATGCTACCATTTAGGCTTACAAACGGAATCTTTCACTTTCATCTCACCGACTGTTAAAATGGGACCATATAAAATAAAAAAAATGCCGCAGAGTAAAAATGTAACTTTTTACTTTTACCGTCAAAACTGAGTTAACTCCCTTTTGTGTAATTTTGCCATTTGTACTAATGTTGTGTGAGTCAACAGAATTTTCAAAGCAACACGTCAATTCCAGGTAACCAGTATATATTGGCTTTAATTTGGTTTAATTATTTAATCTTTCTTTTTTCAATGAGACAGGCCGTTAGAATTTCAAAGCTGTGAACTAGAGTTAAAAAATAGATATTCGTTTTGTTGTCGAATAATGAACATAGCCTATGTCTAAATCAAGGCCGTCGTCGATGGTCCGGCCGGTCCGGCCGAGGCCGGACCAATATTTTGGCCAAAAATGAGTAAAAAAAAAACAACAAAAAAAAAACACACATCGCTGATAATCAATTTGACACTTGACTGGCCTCTTATGCAATGCGCGTTAATATACAAACATGACGTGAAGAAACAACTGGACACTGTTAATTGACCAGGTATATGTAGGGGTCCTACTAAGTAAAGTGTGAAGTTATCTTAATTGGCATTAATTAACATCGACGTGGCTTCGGACAGTTCACAGTATATATATATCATATGTTTATTTAAAATATAACATGGGGGCCTCCGTGGCCGAGTGGTTAAGGTCGCTGACTTGAGATCACAGGTCTCTCACCGCTGTAGGTTCGATCCTCACTCGGGTCGAAATCTTTCATGTGAGGAAGCCATCCAGCTGGCTTACGGAAGGTCGGTGGTTCTAACCAGGTGCCCGCTCGTGCCTGAAATAATGCCCGGAAGGGCACCTGGGGTCTTCCTCCACCAATAAAGCTGGAAAAAAATCGACGAAAAAATCTCGGCGGGACGCTCTAGGATGGCCCGACTTGAGTGTACGGTCGCCCATATGGGCTTTCCGGCAGCGACCTTAAATAAACGCATTAAAAAAAAAAAAAAAATATAACATCACAATCCTTAAAAATTTACTTCTGTTCACATACAAGTATCTAAATATGAATAGCTTAAGATAGCAAACTATCATGATGTGTGACACAATTCCATCGGAACCAAATCAACCAATATCATTTTCGTTTCCAAAACGTACATTATTTCATCAATGTTACATATATTATGATATAACAAAAAAAAAAACAGTGCATGAGATTTGCAATATGCATTATGAATATCTTAAAATAGTATGTCTGAATTCTCCGAGAACTTGATAACATTTTATTGATTGTATACGGCAACCGTGTTCTGGCCTATAAGTACTTTGAAGCAATCGATCTTGCCATGGCCAGTGTTAAATAGAGATTTGACCAACCGGGATATCCCGTACTTCAGAACGTGGAGGATTTACGTATTAAGGTCACACAACCTTTGACGACCGAGTACACTAGAGAACTTGGTTTTGTTTGAAATGCCTATGGTAACGACATTAACCGAGATATCTTAGAGGTGCAGCTTTAGCTGCTACGTTCACATTTTGACAAATCAGAAAATAGTACTGTTACTCTACCTGACGTTTTGAAATTTGTGTCAGTTCAGTCAGTGCTAGAACGAGCACTGTTCTTTGAGGTCCTTGTGTTGTTTAAGATTTTGTTAGAAATGCCTGCTACTAATGCTACAAGTGAAAGGACATTCTTGGCGCTCAGAAGAAGAAAGACATACCTGAGATCGACAATGTCATGTCTCAAGTACGTTTGAACAATCTTAATGGCAGGCTTCGCGAAACTGCTGAAAAATTTGCCTGACATTCGGTCAGACAAACTTTCAATTCTTGTCTGACCGAAAGAACTTTTGTCTGACCGAATTTTTTTTCCCAAATATATGTATATGGTATACTGTGCTCCTCTTAGTTCACGATACTTAACACTTTAAAACAGTAAAGAAGACAAACAATAATCTTACACGACAAAAACTTTCATAAACTGTATCATTTAGTCATTTTTCTGCTATATGACACAAGGAAACAACAATATATTCAATCAAAGTAAGTTTTAATTTGTCAGATGTAGACCGTGTGTCGGCCATTTTGAAAACAGTATGTCATCATTTAACTCGCGGTAATGGCAATACCTTTGTGTTTTTTTTAAAGACAAAACAACTTTTAAAGATTTGCAACACAATTTTATTCCCTTAAATAAAACATTAGTTTATCCAGATTGATGGACTCTGTCTGGAAATCAAAACATTCATGATCAAAGCGGCCATTTGTCCATTTACCCACAAATTTTCTCGGCGGGCGCCTGGACTCGTATTCCTTTTGTTTCGCTTTTTTTTCTTCATTGGATAGTTTACGATTTTTGCCGGGCGTAGCGCCAGCGTAATAATGTAGTAACACCGACATTTTGGTTATTGACAGTCGTATGTATCTAGAATTTGATTGGACACTTATAATGAAACGGCGAATCAAAACTCGTTTTACATTTTTTTTATTAAAGGGAGAAAACTCGGTCTTGGTCAGTCTTGGATATATCCCGGTATTCGTACCGGACATAAGGTCCGGAACTCCGAAAAAAATATCGGACCGGCCTGATTTTTGCCGGACATGTCCGACGGTCCGGCAACTTTCGCGAAGCCTGTAATGGTGTTACATATTCATAAGTACAGGCCAGATTCATTTAACTAACGTGTTTTTGCCGATGAGTTCATTGCCACCAGAGAACGACGGCGATGTGTTTTTGGAAAATTTACATAAAATGAGACTCTGTGTTGTGTAAAAAATACAAGTTACTGCTAAACAAAAAGTGGTTATTAGTGACTCGTAATGTACTATTCTTCCATCATGTCATGGATTGTTATTTAAGCCTATACCATTGTGTGATTTATGTTAAACAATAACCCACGTACTGTAATATCTCTTGTATTTGTTTATTTATAATTATCAGATAAAAATGCATTTAAAGAATTATAACATCAGTTATTGTTTATTTTTCATTTGCCAAATATCAATTACATGTATTCATCTTTAATGTACACCTGTCCGTCCGTTATGCGAACCTTAAATTTCACCCTTAAAACTTACGGCGCACTTAAAAATGTAAAAAATCGTTGACATATATTACTATAACATGTACTAGTGGCAGGCTGTAAACTGTGCCAAATATACGGGAAAACGCCCCTGAGAGCATCCTAGAATAAAAATTTTTCCGGGGGAGCATGCCCCCGTACCCCCCTACATTCTGGCTCAAACCAACCAAATTGGCCGCACCAATCACAAAATCGTGACGACGGGCCTGTAAATCCCAAATAAATCTGAAACACTAAATAAAGAGTGGCACCAGGATCTTCCAGATATTTCAAAGACCGTGGCACTAATGATTTGAAGAAATGTGAACAAGAAAATCGTCACATTGCCTCACGTCTTGGCAACCATTGGAAATCCTACTTATAATGGGGGCACCTACATGTATATGTAGGCCTACATATAGCCTGGGACATAATCTTATGTCCCAGATATAGCTCATCCAGAGGTTGAACCCTTTACCTGATATATACGCGAAACAACGCACTTTCAACCCCCCCCCCCCCCCCTACTTTAGTCTTAAATTGTGAAAAAAATGTCGTGTTTGGGCCCCAAACATGTTTTCGTTTGAGAAATGTTGATAAAAAAAGTGAGCACTTTTTTGGCGCTGCCCCCCCCCCCCCATCCAAAAGGGGGTTGCCAGAAAGGGGATGTTTCCCCTTCTGTTTGGGGGGTTTGAAGGGGGGCGGCAGTCCCCCTCAACGCCTAGAAAATTTTGGACATGCGAGAGGCCAAAAATGACCCAAGGCCGATCATAAGGTAACGTGTAACCAACGCTGAAAAGCCTTTGACTCAATCTGAATCCATTGAGACGTTGCAGCACTTTGAAATCAATTTTGTTGGAAAAAATGAATGCAAAATAGTGATTTTTGACAATTTTGAGATGTCCCTTCATTGCCATGGTAACATGAAATTTAAGACTGAGCATGTTGTTACAAAGGCCATGGTCCAGTCAACATTTGATTAGTATTGAAGAAGTTTTTATAGTTTTATAGCAATTTTTCACAAAATGCTCATGCAGTAATGGGTTAAACTGTTAAAGTCAGACAGTATTAAAAAAAATAAAAACCTCCACAGGCAAAAAATTAAGGCTCAAACATGAATAAGACCCTAGGCCAGAGTTGGCTTGGATTTCCCAGATTTGCAAACTTAGTATTGGATTCAGATATTAAACTTAATAGAGACAGACATTGCTTCCAACTGCTTCATCATTCCACAACACAGATATCAAGGTTAACTATTTCCCATTATCTATTGGGAATCCCTGTATTTCCAAGGAATTCCCTGTATTCCCCACTGTCTAAGGAAGTAACTCCAATTCCCACTTTAATGCCAACTCTGCCCTGGACAATTTTCAAGAAAACTAGAACAAGCAGTATGACAAACAGGGATAAATACATGTAGGAAAGATATTTTTGTGTTTTCAGATCCATCATTTATGCCTTGAAGTAATAATAAAATATTAATAAGATCAGAATAGAAGGGAAACAACAATACTCAAAAGTATGGCAGAAAAGAAAGATAATGAAGTAAAGATTGGGACTGAAGGTTAGTTGTTATTGTTTTTTTACTATTTTCAGAGACATAGATAACAGAGATCTATAGGCAACTTCCTAGCCAGTTAAAATATCATGCGTGCTTGCTAAACTTAAAAGTTGTAGCAAGTAAAACTTATCAACCAGATGTCAAAATCAGTAAAATAATACATTTTCTGAAAGCTATATGCATTTGTCTATGGCTGCAGTTAAAAATATTTACAGTTCCCATTTAAATAAATGATACATCAATTTATAAAGAGAACTACTTATTATTTTTTGTTACAAAACTATTCATATGACAAAAAACTGGCTCAGTGGGTATGTTCTGCTATGTTTTTCTAAGTGAAGGGCATGGAAAGTTACAAATATTTTAACATGCAGCAATAGATAAAAGATTTACCTTTCAAATGGTATATAATATTAAAAACATTAAGTTTTATTTGCTACAAAATTCCTATTTTTTTCACTTTTTGATAAGCATGAGTGCTATTTCAATGGAGTATATAGGAATTGCTTATCTCTGTTATCTATGTCTCTGCTATTTTTGAAAAATAAAGGTCCGACATAAAGCTTTTTTTAACAACTGTACTTTGAGTGCTTATAAGTGTCTACATATTTTTGTCACAAATTTTCAGACTTTAGAACATGCAAAGTCTAGTTGATAGCTGAAGACATCTGCATTTATAAAATGGAACTTTTTGATGATTTCCCCATACACAATTTAAAACACATGCAAGGGTGTTAAATGCTAGTATTTCTTTTTATATAAATGATGGTGTCTCATTTATTTTGGGACTCCAATTAAGAAATATTTAGTGACCTATATTCATCTTAAGCCAATACTGGCAGATATTTTACTCTATATGTCCCTTATTTGAGAGCTATCATCAATACTAGAAATCATATTGTACATACATGTTAGTTTCTGTCGATCAATAATTAATATAAATTTGAAGAAAAAAAGATGATTTTGGCTATTAGTTAGGTGCCTAGAAATACTGCCTGAAACATAAACAAATGCAGGTGTCCCTGTTTAAAACATGCTGGTGTTACGCAGTGATGAAAAAAGAAATTAGAAAAAATGATGTAGTGGGCATTTATAAACGCGACACATCTGAATTGTATGAATAGTACATGACTATTTTACTGAAATCATGTAAACAGGTATGAAAGTGATTTACAGAGGAATAATTAAATGTAATTATTGATATATTCAATATTGCTGTGGCATCGATATTTGTCCTTGGATATATATTACTTTGCTTTGAATCAATGACAGCACTGCTGTTTTTGCTAGAAAATAATTCAACAGGCCATAGTGTTTGGAGGGGGATGCTTGTATTTGATATGTCAAATGAATTATTATTTTATTACATATCTGAAAATTAAAATATTTTTCATGCAACATTTATAGTTTTAAAGAGTTTGTCTTCTGACACCTGGAGATTTGAAACTCTTCATTATTTGTGTTATGCATATTTTTCCATGTTATATTTTAATAGACATTGGTTTAACTTGTGTAAATTTTTATTTCAGAAGGTGATTCGAAAATTGAGATACAGGAATGCAGCGGTGATGGAGCAAAGTCAAATCTTCCAAAAGCTGGTATGTTTTAATGAACACAAACTACTATTATTGCCACTCTTCTAACTAGCTGTTACATGTTTTTTGTAATTGTAGATGTAAACAAACAAAAACAATTGATAATGTATATTCTAAATTGTGTTGGCAAGATGATTAAGATTACAACAACAGAATTATATATCTTATGTAATAAACTTTGTTGGTAAGTAGTGCTTTCAAATTGACTTTAATTTACAGTTTACGTGGATATACCTACAAAGTACTATCATTTATTTGCTTTACAAAGTCATCATAAGTCCCTGTTTAATGATATACAGCAAATGTTTTGACCAAAAAAGAATGCAATTGTTTTTGTTTACTTGAAGATAAATTTATTTGTTTGTTTAGTTTTGTGGCTCATTAACACAGTATAGTTCAGAAACAGGAAAGATGATTTTGGCTAACCTCGGGTGTTACAAACTTCAAAGCAAAACCAGGTCAAAACCATCTCGCCTGCCAGAGCAAAAAAGATGCATAGATTCATTCGAACTCATTTCGTTGCTTCTTACCATCACATAGGGATAAACAGTGGCTGCAGTTTTTATGCCACAACCATAAAAGGCAACACCTCAGCCACAAGGGGCATAAGTTAATTTTGATAGAAGAATATTTTAATTATATTAAAGGGACTTTTAACAGGCCATAACGCCCAATTTTAAAGATTTCAAGCTTAAGCCGCTCGATTAAAAAAATCAATAAACATTCACCATGAAAAATATATATCTTTTCAAAACTTTTTTTCTTGCACTAATTCAGGCAACTTAGATGATTTGTTGTCCACATTAAAGAACCAGATTTCAAACTCTGATTGGTTGGAGAAAAACACAGCAGATAAATGGGTACAGGAGAATCCCGATTTAGCAAAAGAATACATAGATGCTACCAAGAAGTCATGACGTTCTTTAAAGGTAAGCGGTGGTATAAGTTTAATTGAAAATCAAAGTACATCATATATTTAAAAGGTCTTATGTTTGCCTATATGTAATGGATATTAGATCATATACAAAGGGTATATCATTGCTTAACTGCTTATAAAAGAAACAAGGTTATAATATATCATTCCTTCGAGGTTTAAACTTAGTACTGCATTCACTAAAGGTTGAAACTTAGTGCTCCATTCTCTTAAGGTTAAAACTCAATTTCATCAAGGTTGAAACATAGCTACATTCCTTCAAGGCTGAAACAAAGTACACCATTATATTAAAGCTGAAACATAGAACATTGTACTCAAGGTTGAAAAGTATTCCAGCATTGTCTCAAGGTTGAAAAAAAGTATTCCATTCCGTCAAAACTGGAAAAAAAGCTGCTCCATTCCATCAAAACTGAAACAAGTTACTCCATACTTTTAAGGCTGACATTATTTCTTAGTATTCCATTATACCCAGACTGAAACTTCATAAAATAATTCAGTATCCGTTTTGATGACTTCTTTCTTATTTTTACATTTCAGTGTGACATAAACAAGTTACAGATCTGTGGACAGCAGGATACATCTCCTAAATGACTATTAAACAATTTTTCTCTTTTCATTCCTTTTATTCTTTAATTTCTGTGATAATTATTAGCTTTGTGAACAAACTATAATGAATAAATGAAAATGTTTGATTAACTGAATGGTAGCTTGTTGATTTAGTATATTTAGATAACTGTCAAAATTTGATTTTTTTAGCAAAGAGAAACTTGATTTTTAAACATTTGCTGTTTATGATGTTTGTATATTTCATTAAATAATTAAATGAGAAATAAAATACTCGCTGGATATGTTGTTATATTTTATTTTTAGACAAAGTTAAATTTTATAAGTCTAAAAATATTTCCAACCATTTTGAGTTTGATGTATAAAGTATAATTATGGAGAGCTGTCCTACTCACCCAGAAATGTCAAGATATATGGTTCAAGTGTTTTTTCCACCTCAGCATTTGCATATAGCAATTCACCTGTGTGTGTGTACATGTGAGTGTACGTGTGTGGGAGTGTGTGTGTGTATGCGTATGTATGTTATATAGATTATATTATGAACTTAAAAATCTTTGTTTTGAACTTTTCCTTTTTATTCCTTGATGAACTCTTTTAATTATACTTCATAAACATTTGGTCTTCATCCACACTAACATTACATACTAGTAATCATTATTACAACATTTGTTACTCTGGTATGTATATTCCAGCAATAATTTTTCTTTGAATGTAGAAATTCATGGTACAAATTAAAATTTTTAGTTTAGATTATTTTTCTCACTCACCTGGACACACAAGAAACAAAATATAAATATCAGTGAAACTACTTGCTATGCACATTACAACATATCTAGTTTTGAAAAGCGGGGCGGGGCTTAGGCGCCTGATTTCTATCGTTGACAAAAAGCATTATGTACGTCCGAAAAAAAATTCTACTGACCAAGTTTATGTGTGAAAAATTCAATGAAAATAAATTCATATGAGATCCCTCATCAAAAAGCAAGGTTATCATGATAAAACACATCAATATTAAAGTCAGAAAGTGTCATAATATAAGTTCACAAGGAATTCAGTCCATATTTCTATGGTTGAAAAAAAGCGTTTACCGTTTGCAAAGATTTTTCTACTTACCATTGTAATGCACATAGCTAGTAGTTTCACTGATTTTTATTGCGTCCAGGTGAGAAATCCCAACCCTCGGGCAATCAGTTTCATCGGGAACTCGCCAAAGCTCGTTCCTGATGGAACCGATCACCCTCGGGTTGGGATTTTCCTATCCTCTATCTAACCCAATGATAGATTCTATTAGTCTCTTTGACAAGTCTAATTACTTGAACTACCCTAACAGCTGAAATTCAAATTGCAATTCAAGAAAGATGGCCATCAAAATGGCTGATAAAGAGCATGTTTTAGCTTAAATTTTCAATAAATTGATGGAAACAAGCAATAAATTGTTAAATTACTTATTTGTAGTTTAAAGCAGCATGCCTCCAGATTCATGCTAATATTTATGAAATTTTTAAAAATGTATATAAAAGTAAAATAAGTGAACAAAAAAAAAATTTACATATTGCAAACAGCATTTGCAATCTACGTTTTGTTTGTTTCATTTTACGCCTTTTCCCCCCAACAGTATTTCAGTCATATAGGCGGGTAGTTTCCTAACCATCGTTCCTGGAGAGTTACACAAGTACTAGACTACCTTCCTCCGTGCTAAACTACCAAAGCATCTCCCGGGGATCGAACCCGAAATCTATGTAAATTACCAAAAAGAGGTCAAAATAAGCATAAATAGCCCTTACTGCGCTAGCAATGCAGTAAAGGTATAGTGATAAATACTGCAAAATCAATCCTTAATCACACATAACATGTAAATTATTACTGGAATTTTAAATCTTTTCTTCAAATCTAAGTAAGTTTTCATTTTCTTGACATATTTTTGGCTTATATTGAGGCATACAGCTTTAAGGAAAATATCTCAAGGTAGGGTTATTTATGAATTCATTTCCATGGAGGAAAATTTGTAAGTCTGGATTTACACACCTAATTATGCAGTGCAAAAGCTTTCAGTCAGTTCAATATTTGGACTAATACAAATACAGATACACAAAATCTAAAGCAATTACTTAAAATTAGTTGAGACTTACTCGACAAGTTAAGATTTAATTGAAATGTTTGTGTTGTAGTAATAAAATAAGTATGTAAATGCAATAACTTCCATCGCACTTCAACTAAGTTTCTGTTCTTCTACACAAAACAATTAAAAAACCCAAGTTTCCATATTTCTTTATAAATATTGAAATAGTGGCGACATGGCTGAGTGGCTAATGCGTTAAACTAGTAATCTAATGATTGCTAGTTGCATGTGTTCAAACCCCATCAGGGGGAAGTCATTGTTTTCTTGAGCAAGTAACTGAGTCATTGCTCAGTTCTGGTTGGTTCCAAGAATGGATTTGAAAGTGTGTCTATAAGCTTATAGCTTCCTACTCAGTCGAACTAAAGTAATTTTGCATAAACCAAAATTGAGCCGTGTCATGACAAAACCAACATAATGGGTTTGCAACCAGCATGGATCCAGACCAGCCTGCACATTGGCCCAGTCTGATCAGGATCCATGCTGTTCCCTTACAAACCCTATTACAAGTAGAGAAACTGATAGCGAACAGCATGGATCCTGATCAGACTGCGCGGATGCGCAGGCTGGTCTGGATCCATGCTGGTCGCAAACGCACTGTTGGTTTTGTCATGGCGCTGCTCATATCTATTTTCAAATTGAAGAGATAGTTAGCGTGGTACTTTATATAAAATTTAATTATTTTGAGCAAAACAAAACGAATAATACAATCAGATGAGGATGTGGTTTATTTTTGATAAAATATAGTATTAGAACACCAGTACAATATGTACACATCAGTATTTCATAAAATTAAAACAAAACGACTAGTAAAATTACACTACAATAACAGTGGTGTTTATCTTAAAATTCAAGCTATGCAAACAGTTGTATTCCAAAGCAAGTCATATGGAGCAGAATCTCTGATGTACTGCACATAGTTTTGTTGACATATATCGAAACTCTCCGCCCTGCCAAGATCGTATGTTTGTCTTCCGCGACAGAAAGTCCTGCAACGAAAATATTCAAAGGTAAGTTACAGCGAAAAAAAAAATTACGACATATCATCAATTGTTTGTCATAAAAATTCCCCAGAAAAGGTCCATTTTGAATTTGAGGCTGTCATTTTTTGGTTTTATTGCATACAACAAAGTGCGTTTTATTGCATACAACAAAGTGTGTTTTATCACATACAACAAAGTGTGTTTTATTGCATACAACAAAGTGTGTTTTATTGCATACAAACAAAGTATGTTTTATCGCATACAATAAGTGTGTTTTATTGAATACATCAAAGTGTGTTTAATTGCATACAACAAAGTGTGTTTTGTCGCATACAACAAAGTGTGTTTTATCGCATACAACAAAGTGTGTTTTATCGCATACAACAAAGTGTGTTTTATTGCATACAACAAAGTGTGTTTTATCGCATATAACAAAGTGTGTTTTATTGCATACAACAATATGTGTTTTATCGCATATAACAAAGTGTGTTTTATTGCATACAACAATATGTGTTTTATCGTATATAACAAAGTGTGTTATATTGCATACAACAAAGTGTGTTTACTAAGTTTAGAGGAAGCCTTAATTGAATTTGAGATGGTCATTTTTTCTTCCAGCAATTTCTTAATGACAACTGTGTCTTATCAGATATAGATACAAACTGCTTCTTTTTTGTAACAAAATATGCTGGGTTATAATTTTGTTATAAAATCTTTTGACAGGTTATATGGCTTAATGTAATCGGTTTGATTGGAAATATAACCCGATCTTTTAGATGGGGGTTATATTGCAAACAACTGTTTTTATATCGTCATATAACCTGCCAGGAATATTTATACATCAAACTTCCTTTTTTTAGAGAAAAAACTGGGATTTCTTCATAAACTGACGGTAGCAGTGTATATAGAACTTTATAATACTGCACGTTTGTAACGTCGCTTTTCATTGGATAATCGTGACGTTTATATTATTAGTTATAAAGATCGTTGACAGGTTATATGGCCCTATATAAACGGCTATTTGTAAATATAACCCAAGTCGTTAGGCGAGGGTTATATTGCAAATAGCCGTTTATATACGGCCATATAACCTGTCAACAATCTTTATAACGAATTTATAATACAGCAAGCATCATTTTTTAAAGAAAAAAGTATGATTTGTTCATGATTCGACAACAGCCGTGTATATAAAACTATATAAACGTCAGATTATCCAATCAGAGGCGACGTTACAAACGTGCAGTATTATAAAGTTTTATATACATGGCTGCTGTCAATTTTCTAAGAAATTTCACTTTTCTGTAAAAAAAAGAAGTTTGTTGTATAAAATTCGTTATGAATATTCCTGACAGGTTATATGACCATATATAAACGGTTGTTTGCAATATAACCCTCGCCTAGCGACTCAGGATATATTTCCAAACAGCCGTTTAAATAGGGATATATAACCTGTCAAGAATCTTTATAACTTATAATATAAACGACCAATTATCCAATGAAAAGTGACGTTACAATTTTATCCTGCTGGAACAAATTCAGAACACAGACTATGTCATAGGATAGACAAATACAAAATTAATATTACTATTTAGATATACAATTTACTGTACATATAATATGCATGTATAAAGATGATATATGTTTACCTTGATGCCTCTATTCTGGGCTTGTTCACATCATATACCACCATATGTGGTAAGACGATATTTGACTCTGACCCACGTACACGTTCCTGCTAAAATGAAAAAAAAAAATGAAAAAAAATTGTTGGATCTCAAAAAGTTTGTAATAACCTGCTGAATATTTATAAATGGACTTGTCCAGCATTCATTTTTGGGACCTGTCCATTATTAATTTTGGGACCGATATCAAGATGAAAATTAGGTCACACCAACAGTATGGAGCCTGGTCAGACTGTCCAGATGTGCAGGCTGGCCTACCTTCTATACAGGTGGCAAAGGCTTATCATTTTGAGTTCCAGCAAGTTAAGGGTTAAAATCTCACTTCAAATCTTAGTTTCTTAGAAAATATTCCGAGTAAGCATTGAAAAATGCTGCAAAATATATAATTCAGTAATTCTGAAGGTCCAATACCAAAGTTGTACAAATTTTGTTCCTAGTGTCAAAATTGGCCCCGCCCTCGGGGGTCATTGATTTTCATTATATACATATAGTGAAAACTTGAAAAATCTTCTGGTCTGAAAGTAAATGGCCTAGAGCTTTGATATTTGGTCTATGGTATCATCTATAGGTCCAAAACCAAAGTTGTTCAAATTTTCTTCCTAGAATTAAAATCGGCCCTGCCCTGGGGGGGTCATAGGTTTTTCCTTATATGTATATTGTAAAACCTAAAAAAATCTACTTCTCTGAATTTGTAAAGGCTACAGGTTAGATATTTGGCATGAAACAATGTAAAGTTGACCTCTACCAAGATTGTTCAAATAATGGCCCTCGGGCTGCCCGGGGGGTCATTGATTTTCATTATATACATATAGTGAAAACTTGAAAAATCTTCTGGTCTGAAAGTAAATGGCCTAGAGCTTTGATATTTGGTATATTGTATTATCTGAAGGTCCAATACCAAAGTTGATCAAATTTTGTCCCTAGTATCAAACTTGGCCCCGCCCTGGGGGTCATAGGTTTTTAGCTCACCTGTCACAAAGTGACAGGGTGAGCTTTTGTGATCGCTTTTCGTCCGGCGTCCGTAAACTTTTACTTTAAATGACATCTCCTCATTAACCGCTGAGCCAATTTCATCCAAACTTCACAGGAATGTTCCTTTGGTGGTCACCTTTAAAAATTGTTCAAAGAATTTAATTCCATGCAGAACTCTGGTTGCCATGGCAACCGATAGAAAAAACTTAAAATATCTTCTTTTGAAAAACCCAAAAAGGTAGAGCTTAGATATTTGGCATGAAACATCTTCTAGTAAGTGTCTAAATCAAAGCCCTGGGGTCAAAATTGGCCCCGCCCCGGGGGTCATTCATTTTCCCTATATGCATATAGTAAAAACTTAAAAAATCTTCTTTTAAAGAACCCAAAGAGCTAGAGCTAAGATATTTAGCATGAAACATCTTCTAATGGGTATCTACCAAGTTTGTTCAAATAAAAGCCCTGGGGTCAAAATTGGCCCCGCCCAAGGGGGTCATTGATTTTCCCTATATGCATATAGTAAAAACTTATAAGATCTTCTTTTAAAGAACCGAAAGAGCTAGAGCTCTATGATACGAAAAGTAATATTAAAGGCTTACTGTTACTCTCCGATTCCAAAATTTATTATCTCCTTGACCTAAAGTGACAGCTTTACCCAAAATTTCATCTGGTAAATGGAGAATATCCTGAAAATAACAAATACATGTACATTATAGCATGATAGTGACTTTCATTATCATTTCAATCAAGCATGGTTGAGGTTTGCTCAGATTTACAATTAGAGACAGACATCTAACTTGACTTGTATTATGTTACATGATACAATTGCCAAAAATTACATGACATAATTGCAAAAAACTGCATGACACCATTGCCAAAAATTACTTTACATCATATCATTGCCAAAACATTGCAAGACACTCCTGCCAAAACCTTGCAGGATACTATTGCCAAATATATGCAAAACTAATGCCAAAATTTACTTGACACTTTTGCTACAAATTGCATGATACCAGAGACTATTGCCAAAATTTGGATGATACCATTGCCAAAAATTTTCCCCCAAAATTTATCCACAGTAGTGAAATTGTAATGTTTTGTTATGAACTATGTGTAAGTCTAGGGTTACAAATTTAACATCAGAACATTAAATGCTTTTTTTCTTAAAAATGAATTTAATAAAACATTTGTTTCCTTCAACTTAATGCAGAAATAATAAGAAATGCAACTTTTAAAAAAATTATAGCTGTAAAAAAACTTGTTAAATAGAGGATATTAAACAAGTGTAAGTTTAATACTGCATTTATTGAACAAGGAGAATAAAATTATTTGATGCGAGCCTTTGGCAATAAATTAATAAATTCAGTAATAAACTTATACAAATTTAATATTCTATTTATCACATATCTAAAATAAAGATTGTTTCAAGTGAAAAAGAGCCATTTTTCATTGGCGCCCTAACACATGTAACATTTAGCGCATCTTAACATTATATTTATATAACGCAAATGAAGTCCCGTCAAAATATATGCACAACCATACAGTACCAATTTAACAGAGCTGCAAAAGCGGCACGGTTATGTGATAAATTAAAACAATGGCCTAAAGACAAACTAAAGCAAACCTTGCATAGTTGTTTTCGTTTAAAGAGAATATGTTGCAGTCGTTTTCTGTTCATCATAGAAGCCGCTTTCGTAATATTCTCCGTTTTGTTCTGGTCTCTTAGCAACGGATGTACAAATAGAACACCCCTCTCAACAAGGGCCTCATTAAACCTGAAAGATGAGTAACAATTTATACCTGTTACAAGGGTAATATACCAACATGTACAACATATTGATTATTAAAATATTATTCTGGGAAACATTTGCTCTCTCTGTTTTTCCAGAATCATAATCATTTTAATTGTGAAAAATATGACTCAAAATTGAAAAATGTTGCACTGCTTTTCACTCAAAGACTAAGAATAACACAAAAATACGATTTTTCAATTTATTTGGTGTACATTTCTTAACTATCTTTTGCATATCTTTCTGTTTTAAGTGACCTAGCTTATCTATGTAAGAAATTCAAATGTTATATGTATGTTTTTATGCTGTTGGACCTCAGTGGAGTTCCTTTAAACAGAATGGTAACTGTAAGAACTTAATTAACCAGTCATAGTACCTATACTTAGAAAACTAAGGTAGTACTTAGAATCAATTTTAAAGTTTTACGCCCCTTTGTCAAATACCAACCTCGGTTACCAGTTATTGAATTTTCTAACCGGTTTTAAGCTAACAACCAACCATACCTGTTTAAAAGGATAAAAGTGACAATTCTACCTATACTTACAAATTGTAAATTCTTTTATGCAGATCCATTTTCTCCTGGTCCAGTTCTTGCATTTCCTCTTTCCATTTCTTCATGCTTTGCCTAAATTTGCCATCGATTGTGTGTATATATTGCTCCATATCCTCGCGAGTATCATCAGACAAATTCATCTTCTCGTCACTCAAAACCCTCGCCACTCTTTCTGTTAACATAAATGTGCCGCATCACGACAAAACCAACATAGTGCGTTTGCGACCAGCATGGATCCAGACCAGCCTGCGCATCCACGCAGTCTGATCAGGATCCATGCTGTTCGCTATCAGTTTCTCTACTTGTAATAGAGTTGGTAAATGAACAGCATGTATCCTGATCAGACTGCGCGGAGTATTATTGTTAATTAACTACAAAATGTTAAACTGTCAACATAACCAATATTTTAAATCTAGTTTCAACAGACAAATTTATCTGCTTGTCACTCAAAACCCGTGCCACTCTTTCTGTTACCATAAATGTTATATTGTTGATTTATCACAAAATGTAAAACTGTCAACTTTAAATCTTGTATCAACAGACAAATTTATCTGCTTGTCACTCATAACCCTCTCCACTCTTTATAGTTATATGAAATGCTATATTGTTAATTAGCAAAAGTAAAGCTTTCAACATAGCCAATACTTTAAAGCGGCCTTCGGCTTTTCTAAGGGTTAAAGATGTTATTTTTAGATCAATCGTCAAATATTATTGTCAAATCAAAAGAATTAAGGTGTTAAATAAAAATTGCCATTGATAAAACACATAAACAAAAATGAAACCCCACAAAACCTCTCATTTACTGGTCAGATCTCTATAAGTCAGTTAGTAAAGAGAACCAAACGAACGTCACTGCACTCTTAAAAAAAGCTCTCAGGGTGCTGTTTTGTAGAAGGCTTTATAGTGAATGATGCACTTTTCCTAGGATATATTACTGAAATACTTAGTTTGAAACATTACAGAATTGTTTTTCCAACAACAAAAAAAGCTGAAGCTGCTTTTAATCTACCGTATAAGTACTTTTTTCTGCGGGAACTTTATTTCTGCTATTTCTGCGGTTCGTAACGACACCGCAGATTTAAAAACCGCAGAAAATTAAGCCTTCCCATATGTCTATGTCGGAATATGTCAACTACCGGTACTGTATAATAACATTACATGTATCTGTCATGAAATAAATTATTAGAAAAAAGTTCCTTTACTTGTTCTTTCTGTTTAAATAAATATCATGTTTGTATGATTTTCGCTCACCCTAAGCTTGATATTTTGTAAAATAAAACTATTATAGTGTGACGGGTGCAATAAACATACCCTTTTGTATTTGTACAATATCTTGTGTTTACGTGCAATTTCACCATTGCTTATTTTTCACACTACATATTTATACACATGCAGTATTACAATTAATTGTTGTCATTGCATGTTGTTTATTTTTGTTTATTAACGTTTATATACCGATACATGATGATTATGATGAAACACATTATAAGACGTCTGCATGTTTACCGGTAGTAATGTACATGTTACATCAACAAATCTTGAAATGTTGCCTGTTTGTATTGGTTAATTTTGTAAAAATATCTAAATTAAAACGCAGAAATAAAAAACATCAATGCGAGAATGATGACACCGCAAAAATAAGAAACGCAGAAATTTAAAATCCCTTATTTTAACAAAAATCACAGAATATTAAGCCTGCAGAAATAAGTACTTATACGGTACTATCAACAGACAAATTTATCCGCTAGTCTTTCAAAACCCCTCGCAACTCTTTTTGGGTATCAGTATTTTCCTAGGGATGATATTTTTACTGTTACTCACAGACCTATGTGTTATTAACATAATGTTTTTACAAAAGTCACTTTACAAAGCAGCTCCAGAAAGTTATGACTAATGTTGACTAAATGAGTAACATTATATTGGCTATTGTAAAAGAATATGCAATCAATTTCATTCTAAAATTAACAAACCTTTTGAGTTCTAAAATTAACAAACCTTTCGAGTCTTTAATGGTTCTGTAAGTAATGTACTTTTCGAACAATGTCTTCAGTTTACGTCGAGGAATTTCCATAGTTTTCTGTATCATTGCAGTGCCCATCTACAAACAAAATGTCACATTATAATCCTTTAAACCATTCAAATTGTAAACATAGATTATATATGATCACTTTAACAACCATGGTAAATGATTTTTTACTGATTGTATGATTTATTGATTGATTGATTGAATGATTTGAACCAAAACTCTGCAAAGCTGACCTAGCATTATACAAAGGGCCATAACTATAAAAAGGCCAGGCATTATATAAAGGGATGGAAGTAAAAATACATGTTTTTAGGAATGACTCCTTTCAGAAGCTGGGATCAATTATAAAAACATCAAAGGTACTCCACTGAGGTTTTTCGACATGATTGGACTTGAAATAATTTTTAAGAATATTTTTTCGTTTGATATAGGTCTAGACCAATTTAATTTTTTTTTTAGATCATTCACTTACTCTGTTTTTTCCAGAATTCCAGAATTCAAATTATGAAGAAAGAAATATTAAATTGGACTGAAAATAGCACAAATAAACAATTTTAAATTTATTTCTGAGTATATTACTTAATTATCTGTTGCATATATTTCTGTTTTAAGTGCCACATGTGATCTATTTAAGAAATAAAAACTTTATTTTTTTAAGCTTTTGGACCTCAGTGAAGTTCCTTTCAGAAAAACAAAATATGGGAAAACATTACAAACCATTTGAGTCTTTTTGGATATCTTATTTTGCTCATATGCAATGCTCAATATCTTCAGATTCTGTTTCTGGTCAGCTATAGACATCTTCAGGTGTTCATCAACTTGTGCCCTTTTCTGAAAAAACATACAGAGTGTATTGAATATTGTGAATTCATCTAGTTTTCTTGGCATGGAATTTTGTGGGTTTTTAATCATAGAACATTTTCAACCCGGTCCCTTAAATTTGTGGACTGTCTATATTTGCAAAATGTAAAATCCAAATACACGTCAGTGGCAGTATGGCTGAGTGTAATCTAGTATCGTCCCACAAATGTAATCTAGTATTGTCCAACGAATGGAATCTATTATTGTCCCACAAATGTAATCTAGTATTGTCCAACAAATGTAATCTAGTATCTAACCTCAAATGTAATCTAGTATTGTCACACAAATGTCATCTAGTATTGTCCCGCAAATGTAATCTAGTATTGTCCCACAAATGTCATCTAGTATTGTCCCACAAATGTAATCTAGTATTGTCCAACAAATGTAATCTAGTATCTTCCCTCAAATGTAATCTAGTATTGTCCCACAAATGTAATCTAGTATCGTCCCTCAAATGTAATCTAGTATTGTCCCACAAATGTAATCTAGTATTGTCCCTCAAATGTAATCTAGTATTGTTCAGCAAAGGTAATCTTATATTGTCCCACAAATGTAATCTAGTATTTTCCCTCAAATGTAATCTAGTATTGTCCCAAAAATGTAATTTAGTAATGTCCCACAAATGTAATCTAGTATTGTCCCACAAATGTAATCTAGTATTGTCCCACAAATGTAATCTAGTATGGTCCCACAAATATAATCTAGTATCATCCCACAAATGTAATCTAGTAATGTCCCACAAATGTAATCTAGTATTGTCCCACAAATCTAATCTAAAATCGCCCCACAAATGTAATCTAGTATTGTCCCACAAATTTTATCTAGTAATGTCCCACAAATGTAATCTAGTTATGTCCCACAAATGTAATCTAGTATTGTCCCACAAATGTAATCTAGTATTGTCCCACAAATGTAATCTAGTATTGTCCCACAAATGTAATCTAGTATGGTCCCACAAATATAATCTAGTAATGTCCCACAAATGTAATTTAGTAATGTCCCACAAATATAATCTAGTATCATCCCACAAATGTAATCTAGTATCATCCCACAAATATAATCTAATAATGTCCCTCAAATGTAATCTAAAATCGCCCCACAAATATAATCTAGTATTGTCCCACAAATGTAATCTAGTATTGTCCCACAAATGTAATCTTGTATGGTCTCACAAATGTAATCTAGTATTGTCCCACAAATGTAATCTAGTATGGTCCCACATATGTAATCTAGTATGGTCCCACAAATATAATCTAGTATCATCCCACAAATGTAATTTAGTAATGTCCCACAGAGGTAATCTTATATTGTCCCACAAATGTAATCTAAAATCGCCCCACAAATGTAATCTAGTATTGTCCCACAAATTTTATCTAGTAATGTCCCACAAATGTAATTTAGTTATGTCCCACAAATGTAATCTAGTATTGTCCAACAAATGTAATCTAGTATTGTTCCACAAATGTCATCTAGTATTATCATACAAATGATAATAATTATAATTTAAGCACCTGTTTCTTCTCCATTTTAATCTGTGATATCATTATCGTCTCCTGCTCTTCCAACTTCTTCTGCATTGTATCATGGAAGTCACCTTGTCTGTAAGAAATCAAACAAGGGAGACAATTCACACACTTGTACAATAAAAATACATATAAAGTTCAAGAACAATAAGACTTGGATGCCCCTCCCCTTTCTACTGCTTTTTTTTTTCAGCCTTAAAGCTGCATGCCTCCAGATGTCCCAAAATATTTCAAAAAAATTAAACTTGGAAAAACCAAACTAAAACTTTGAGAAAAGTGAACAAATTAAAGATTCAAGTGATAATTTATATCTTATGTGCAATTAATGACTGTATTTTGTAGTATTTATCACCATATTTCTACTGCGTTACTAACGCAGTAGGGGCTATTTATGCATATTTTGACCTCTTTTTGGTAATTTACGTGGATTTTAAGTGCCGATTGTAATGTGTCAAGTACTTTCTTTGTTCATTTCACAATATGTATCCTTTAAATACATTTTCAAAATTTTCATGAAAATTAGGATGAATCTGGAGGCGTGCTGCTTTAATGCATCAGACTAGTAATTGATTGCTGTGTGGGTTCAAACTCTGTCAAGGGCAAGCCATGTTTCCTTGAGCAAGAAACTTTACACTCATTGCTAGGTACTGGTTGGTTCCAGGAATGGATTCAAGAGTGTTTCAATTAGCTTATAGCATCCAACAAAATCAAACTAAAACAAATTAATATAACCTCAAAAACTGTGAATTCACTTAATTTCGTGGACATGAAATTTTGTGGTTTTGTCACAAAGTTCATTTTTGTGGATACTTAAATTTGTGGACTGTTCCAATTAATAGGTAAAATGTAAATACACTGTATTGTGACGCAGACTAACTTTACAGCAGACAAAATAAAATTTTGTTGGATTTTGAATTCGTGGAGTGACCTGTTTACGAAAACCACAAAAATTAGTCCCCCACGAATAATAATGATTTTTCAGTAATATTGATATGATTTATTCGAAGATACTTACAAGACTTCCATATCTCTCTGCATGCCCTGGTAAAGTTTCATCATGTTGTTATACCTTGATAGAAGATCTAGGTATTGCCTATCCTGAATAAGGCAAAAAAAGATCAATTTTACCAGGGTCTTTTGAAAAGTAAGTACAGTACAGAAGAAATAATGCCTTGATATTAATATGTGTATGATTATAACTCTCAGGTAAAAAATCAATAGCGAGGCATTTTTATCATAGTGAGTAGGGTTTACGTAGCTTGTCTTCATACGGTTCTAATTGAAAGACCCTAATTTTACATAAAGGAGATCACCACTCCAAATGCCTATAAACGTATTAATTGTAAATCTTACATTAGATCAACTTTTAAAAGACAATAGTGAAATACACTACAAATTACATGTAAATTGAAAAATTTAAATCAATTTTTATTTGTGTGTGTGTGTGATTATTACCCTGATTGAGATAAAAGCTTAAAGGGATGCTCGGGCAAATTAATGATAAAAATATTAAAATGCTTTTATGTACTCAAATCACGCTAAAATGACAATTTTTAAAAGTCCCAGCATGCCTTTCTGTATAAATTCTATAAATTTTGGGTTTTAAGTGTAAATATATCTAAATATATCTATATATATATATATTGAACGAAATTTAGATGCCGACTGAATCACCCTGAATCACGAGTGTTTTAAAACAAGTCATGTGACTTGAACAAACCCCGGAAGTTACAATAACAGATATCTGTGATATTGTATGATTGAAACAAGTCTAAGTCACTCATTTGACATGTTCTTTAATGTCTCCAGTGTTATTTTTGACATCTATTGTGATATCCTAATGAAATCTATTTTATTGTTTATAAGGAGAAAAGTTTTGTTCCTGTAACTGCCAAGTGTACTTGTTTTGAGGACATTTACAGATTAATGAATGAAAAACTCAAAACGAAGAAATGAAAATTTCGCTTGTGTCTCCCTTTAAAGGAGTTCCAGTCAGGTAAACAAAAAAATCTAAAACACAAAATTTGAAATTCTCACATTGATCAAATCTGAAAAAACTGCAAAAAAATACTCAGATTTAAATTCAAAATCAATTTTTAGGATGATTATTAGCTCAGTTTGGGTGAAAAGCATTGCAATGCTTTTCAATTTGTGTTCATTTTGCACTACAAAAGGGATTGTAATGGGAAACAGAAAGAGGGAATGATCTGATATTTTGCTTACAAGTTATTATACAAACATACATCAAAGGGAACACAAGTCTTGATAAAATATTTCCAGTCATTTCATGTCCAAAAAACCTCAGTGGAGTCCATTAAAAATGTAGGCCCATTATTCTTCATTACCTTGTACTTTATTTTTAAATGGGATCATTACAAAAAGAACAAATTTGTTTGGGTTTTTTTGTTGTTGTTTTTTTTAATATAAAAAATTTTTTTTGTTTATACTTGTAAAACATATCTAAATTAAAGTAAATAGAATATAAATTTACCGTAGCAAAGTTTTTTGTATTCTGTTTGGCATTCTTCAATTTATTTTTGGCTTTCTTTAGAGATTTAGCCAGAGAGTTCACATTCTTTTTTGGTTCCTTCATTGCCCTGGCTTTCCTCTATAGAAATAAAAACACAATACACTGATTAACAGTTTCCACACTAGCAGACGACAGGTAATTCTTATCAGTAGTTTTGCTAGGTAAGATAATCGGTTGCCTATCTCACTGTATAAATCATACGAGCCGCGTCACGACAAAACCAACATAGTGCGTTTGCCACCAGCATGGATCCAGACCAGCCTGCGCATCCGTGCAGTCTGATCAGGATCCATGCTGTCCGATTACAAACCCTATAACAAGTAGAGAAACTGATAGCGAACAGCATGGATCCTGATCAGACTGCGCGGATGCGCAGGCTGGTCTGGATCCATGCTGGTCGCAAACCCATTATGTTGGTTTTATCGTGACGCAGCTCAATTATGTAAAATGGTCTGACATAACAGTTAATTTAAAATCTTTGGTGTCAAAAGATTTGTTGAAGTATATACTGTGACGAAGCAAAGATCCAAAGCTTTCCATTGGTGTAATAAATTTTAAAATCAAAATTTAATCACAACAAACTAGCGTTTTAAAAACGGTTTAATTTGTATTGTTTAAGCATAAGAGATATCGATTTTACTCGTAGATAAGGGAAACAACTCGTATTTTTTCGCTCGATATACCTATTATTTACATAGTTCATATTGAAACTGTTTATTGGTGTCTTTACTTTGCAATGTTCTTATACGAGATCGAACATTTTTATTTTCCGTCACCTTTTTGTTTCAAAATTCCACACACATTTATACAAAACCACTTGTTTCAGAATAAGATGCCTATTCCAAGTGGATAACTAACCTAGAAAAGGTTTGCTCTGTGGAGGTTTAAATGTATATTCAAAATAATGGTAAAAAATAAATACAATTAAACAATCCATCAAATCATAACCAAATCAAACTTCTAGAACTTCTGTTATTTTGATATGATTTGAGCCGCGTCACGACACAAACAACATAATGTGTTTGGGACCAGCATGGATCCAGACCAGCCTGCGATCAGGATCCATGCTGTTTGCTATCAGTTTCTCTACTTGTTACAGGTATAGGGTTTGTAAGCGAACAGCATGGATCCTGATCAGACTGCACAGATGCGCAGGCTGGTCTGGATCCATGCTGGTCGCAAACCCATTATGTTGGTTTTGCCATGGCACGGCTCATTTATGCTTCCGAGGGATCACCCGTCTTCCTGATTTTTCTACAAAGATTAACAATTAACAAGCTTGAAAAATAAAAGCAACACAATATGTCTAAGTCGGACAAGATATCGTCACCTTAGTGCAATAACTGGTTAACTCCTACTAAATTTATAATGACTTAGTGCAATAACTGGTTAACTCCTATCAAATTTATAATGACTTAGTGCAATAACTGGTTAACTCCTATTAAATTTATAATGACTTAGTGCAATAACTGGTTAACTCCTATTAAATTTATAATGACTTAGTGCAATAACTGGTTAACTCCTATTAAATTTTTAATGACTTAGTGCAATAACTGGTTAACTCCTATTAAATTTATAATGACTTAGTGCAATAACTGGTTAACTCCTATTAAATTTATAATGACTTAGTGCAATAACTGGTTAACTCCTATTAAATTTATAATGACTTAGTGCAATAACTGGTTAACTCCTATAAAATTTATAATGACTTAACTCGTTTCTGCATTAAGATGATGCTATGACAACATACCTGCACTTCTTTCATGGCTAATCTATGTTGTACCTCGGCCTCCACTTGTTTGTCCACCTGATATTTCATCAAGACTCTCAAAGCGAGGAACGCATTACTTAAGATACCTTCCATCTTGTTTAAATCTAAAAATAAAAACCATTCTAAAATGTATGACCTTCACATAAAAAGTAGGTCTGCACACATGGGTCTCACTAGGAATCTGAGGGTTGTTGATGGAAAAGGTTCGAATCCTGTCAAGGACAAAGGTTCAAATCCCATCAGAGGCAAGCTGTTGTTTCCTTGAGCAGGAAACATTGCATTAATTGCTTACGGGAATGGTTTCAAAAGTGTGTTTAATATAATTTAAGCTTATGGCTTCCTACACAATCAAACTAAAAAAAAATTTGTATAAACTAATGAAAGCAGATACAAGCTACATGTATACTCCAATAGGTTCTTGATTATATTAAAGCAGTCCAACTGAGGTAAAAAAAGCCTTTAAACATAAAATTTGAAATTCTTACGTATATCTTGTAAGACATTTAAAATGGAAAATTCTGCAAAGAAAATAAAGAAATATACTCAGAATTAAAAAAAATATCAACTTTTAGTGCAATTCTTAGCCTAATTTGATTGGAAAAAAAATGCAACACTTCTGGTTCATTTTGCACAATTAAAATGATTATTTAGGGAAAAAAAACATGGCGAGGGAATGATCTGAAAAATTAAGGCCCCAGTTATTGGTCCAGGCCTTCACCAAATGGTGCACAAATCTAGGAAAAAAATATTTCCTGTCCAGTCAGGTCAAAAAACCTCAGTGGAGTCCCTTTAAGAACCTAATCGGAGTATCACAAATACAAAGTGTGACAAAATAATTAAACAAGAGGGCCATGATGGCCCTAGATCGCTCACCTGACCCATCAAACTCATCCAAACAATTACCTAGACAAGCATTCTGACCAAGTCTCATGACAGGTGAGTCAAAAATGTGACCACTACAGTGTTAACAAGGATTATCCATATTTGAGCAGTGTGACCTAGTTTTTTACCCAGGTGACCCATATTCAAACTTGACCTAGAAATCATCAAAACAAACTTTCAGACCAATTTCCAGGATACTTGGATCAAAACAGTAGCAACTAGAGTGTTAACAAGATTTTTCTATTTTTAGCTCCGGTGACCTAGTTTCACATGCGATTTCGAACTCATCCGAGCAATTACCTAGACAAGCATCCTGACCAAGTTTGATGATAATTGAGTAGAAAATGTGACCACTAGAATGTTAACAATGTTTTTCCATATTTGGGCGGTGTGACCTAGTTTTTCATCCAAGATGACCCATGTTCGAACTTGACTTAGAAATCATCAAAACAAACTTTCAGACCAATTTACAGGATATTTGGATCAAAACAGTAGCCACTAGAGTGTTCACAAGATTTTTCTATTTTTAGCTCCTGTGACCTAGTTTTTCATCCGAGATGACCAATGTTCGAACTCATCCAAGCTATCACCTAGAAAAACATCCTGACCAAGTTTGATGATGATTGAGGCAAAATTGTGACCTCTAGAGTGTTAACAAGGTTTTTCTATTTTTAGCTCAGGTGACCTAGTTTTTCATCCAGGATTACCTATGTTCGAACTCATCCAAGCTATCACCTAGATAAGCATCCTGACCAAGTTTGATGATGATTGAGGCAAAAATGTGACCGCTAGAGTGTTAACAAGGTTTTTCTACTTTTAGCTCCAGTGACCTACTTTTTCATCCGAGATGACCCATGTTCGAACTCATCCGAGCTATCACTTAGACAAGCTTCCTGACAAAGTTTGATGATGATTGATGCAAAAATGTGACCGCTAGAGTGTTAACAAGGTTTTTCTATTTTTAGCTCCGGTGACCTACTTTTTCATCCGAGATGACCCATGTTCGATCTCATCCAAGCTATCACCTAGACAAACATTCTGACCAAGTTTGATGATGATTGAGGCAAAATTGTGACCTCTAGGTGTTAAAAAGGTTTTTCTATTTTTAGCTCCGGTGACCTACTTTTTCATCTGAGATGACCCATGTTCGAACTCATCCAAGCTATCACCTAGACAAACATCCTGACCAAGTTTGATGATGATTGAGGCAAAATTGTGACCGCTAGAGTGTTAACAAGGTTTTTCTATTTTTAGCTCTTGTGACCTAGTTTTTCATCCAAGATGACCCATGTTCAAACTCATCCAAGCTATCAACTAGATAAGCATCCTGACCAAGTTTGATGATGATTGTGGCAAAAATGTGACCGCTGGAGTGTTAACAAGGTTTTTCTACTTTTTAGCTCCAGTGACCTAGTTTTTCATCTGAGATGACCCATATTCGAATGATCCGAGCTATCACTTAGACAAGCTTCCTGACAAAGTTTGATGATGATTGAGGCAAAAATGTGACCGTTAGAGTGTTAACAAGGTTTTTCTATTTTTAGCTCCGGTGACCTACTTTTTCATCCGAGATGACTTATGTTCGAACTCATTCGAGCTATCACCTAGACAAGCATCCTGACCAAGTTTGATGATGATTGAGGCAAAAATGTGACTGCTGGAGTGTTAACAAGGTTTTTCTACTTTTTAGCTCCAGTGACCTAGTTTTTCATCTGAGATGACCCATATTCGAATGATCCGAGCTATCACTTAGACAAGCTTCCTGACAAAGTTTGATGATGATTGAGGCAAAAATGTGACCGTTAGAGTGTTAACAAGGTTTTTCTATTTTTAGCTCCGGTGACCTAGTTTTTCATCCGAGATGACCCATGTTCGAACTCATTCGAGCTATCACCTAGACAAGCATCCTGACCAAGTTTGATGATGATTGAGGCAAAAATGTGACTGCTAGAGTGTTAACAAGGTTTTTCTATTTTTAGCTCCGGTGACCTACTTTTTCATCTGAGATGACCCATGTTCGAACTCATCCGAGCTATCACCTAGACAAACATCCTGACCAAGTTTGATGATGATTGAGGCAAAAATGTGACCTCTAGAGTGTTAACAAGGTTTTTCTATTTTTAGCTCTTGTGACCTAGTTTTTCATCCGAGATGACCCATGTTCGAACTCATCCGAGCTATCAACTAGATAAGCATCCTGACCAAGTTTGATGATGATTGAGGCAAAAATGCGACCGCTAGAGTGTTAACAACAAAATGTGAACGGACGGACGACGGACGGACGACGGACAATCATCGATCCTAAAAGCTCACCCTGAGCATGCTCAGGTGAGCTAAAAAGAAAAGAAATGACTTACAATCTACAACTATGCCCACTAAAGCAGCCAACATGTCCTTCGGATCAGGTGATAACTATAAAACAACAATTTGCACAATTATTAGAGAAGTATGTATATCTATAACTAGTATTTGCTATTCTGAAATGAAATTTTATTTTGTTTGGGTTTTACGATTAACAACACAGTATAAGTTATATGGTGACTTTCAAGTTTTAATAGTGAAGAAAGACCTGCGATGCCCCTCTGTGCATTACTTTAGGTACGAATGGACACTTGAGTAGAACCACCAACATTCTAGACAGCTTCCTCACGTGAAAGACTCTGTTGCGAATCAAACTCACAGAGGTGAGGGGCCAGAGATTTAAAGTCAACAACCTTAACAACTCAGGATGGACACACCCCCTAAAATGTTCCTGTAAAGAAGCTTATGTGGTATTGAGTAAACAAACTTGTACATTTAGTACTAGGTTAGACCTTAAACAAAGTTTGTTAATAACTAATTTTCCAAAAGAAGAAAATGTTGGTTTAAAATTATTTTAATAAACAGAAATGAATTTGGTCAACAACAATACTTAAGGAAAATTTAATTCTTTTTACATCATAATGATGCTTATATTTGTTACCTGACTAGGACAAATCTTAAGCTACGGGAACAGTAGTTCCTTCCATTATTGTAAATGTAAACACTTTTAAAAACAACAACATTTTAAAAAAGTGACCATGTAACAAATCAGTCAGTAACAATTTTGTTTTATTTTCACAACATGTACTTTCATACTGATAATTATGACACATAAAAATTATATACATAAAGAACATTTTCTATAAAATGCCCCGCCCCTGGTGTATTACATTTTACAAAATGGGGAGTTAATAAAAGTACCCAAAAAAGTTAAATGTTGTATAAATAAAAAGAAAGCTTACTGTTTTGTGATATTTTCCACTGGATTATACATGTATACATGTATATATGTACTAAATTAACAAGCTGTTAAAATTAGGGGGAGGTGCATTTATTAGAGAATATGTGCTAATTAACATCTTTGTAAGCATCATGCATAATAATGCAAAAGAAATAAGAAAATGGGCAAGCAGCTATCTAATAAGTTGATTTAGTGCATCAAATACAGAAAACCTGAAAATCTAAAGGCTGTGGAACAGCCTGGGCAAAACAGACAATTGATTCTTCTGTCACCAATGTCCATAAAAAGAGTACTTATAGTACAAAATCAGTCTAGTTGATGTCGTGTAAGAAAATCACATAAAGGTCAAGTTAAATGAATATACATGTATGTACATTTCATGAAATCTTGATGCACCAACCCTTTGCAACACCCTGTCCCCTATTGCCCTCTCCCTCGCCACCCCTTATAAAAGGGGCAGCAGGGTAAATGAGCCAATGCTTTAATTTCCATAACTCATTCCTGCTGGATAAATGTTTTGATTTGGAGCCTAAAAAGGGAAAGAATAATATCGAACTTACATTAACTTTAGAGGCCATTTAGCAGGGATTACATCATCCGAATGTCTGTGCATGGAGAGGCCTTTACTACTAGTTTGATTAATTGAAATAAAATTCTCCACTATTTCCAAGTATTGAGGGAGGGGTAAAAGTCAGCTGGTGCAAAAAAAAGATTTCATAAAGTGTGTATCACAGAAAAAAAAGATGAAGCTTTTCCTATGACTATGTATAACCATATAAACAGTGGTAAATTTTATTATATTGTGGCAAAGTTAGATATTGTGGTAAAAGGGAAAAAAAGTGATTTATGAAAACGACATATGTATATTCTTTAAGAAAATTTGGCAAAATTAGAACTGCTAACATAAAGGGTCACACATTTTTTTCTTACCTTTGAAGATCAAAGTAAAACTGCTGTAAAAAATATAAACATAAGAGAACATTGTATAACTTAACAGTATCTAGTACTATAACTTGTATCATGGTTTATGACTGTTCATTTTTTTAGGGGAGCTAAAATTATGTGTAAGCAACCCGATGGCTGAGGCTGTAGTCGCGAATGGTATTCAGAGGGTCCCAAGTTCAAATCCTGGTCCGGCTGCATATTTTTCTCACCTTGTAACACAATGTCATGGAATTTTACATATTATAAAACATTGTCAACTCAAAGCTACTGTATAACCTTTTAGTACTGTACAATCTGGTTAAATATTTGGTAGGGTATAACCTGAAGAAAATATTTAGTACTGCATAACCTGGTTATATTTAGTACTTTTCAGATTTATTAAACACTTATGATTATAGATGTCTGCAATATATAAAATTATAACCTGAATAAATTTACTATAAAACAATGATTTATTTTTTTTAGGGCTGGGAATTATATTCGAATATTCGAAACACTACCGAATGTTCGAACATTGAAAAACAAATACAAATATTCGAAAAAAAAGAATGTTTTGTTTTTTTTGTTATTACTTTAAAATTTCACTTAAGATCGTAAAGTAAATCATTGACCTTTACTTGACCAGGTGTTCACACGTTTGTATGACGCGTGTCAACGGTTATCGCCAAATAACTGTGAAAACTTTGGGGTCTAGTTGATCAAAAGGGCACCGTTTCACTTTTTGCAATTTACCTGTTTAACAGTTTAGAATGTCTGATTTTTTTAAATAAAACCTAATTATTTTGTTGCCATTGCAACACTTACCTTATCTTTAATATCACCTAATTCTTGCAGAGCCTGAGCTTGATCAGCAAGGTTCTCTTTCTCAAAACACACCATCATGTGTTCACGGAAATGCATGATTCCTCGTAGCATGCGTAAACTGTCTTTATGTATGCTTGTCAATTGATCTTTATGAAGGAATTCCATTTTCTTTATACTTGCATCACCTCTGAAAGAAATTTTTACAGAAGGGTTAGTCCCCAGTCCCCAAGATAATGAGATAAAAATGTATATGAAAGCACAATAAGACAAAAGGGCCATGATGGCCCTTTTATCGCTCATCTGATTATGCATAACCAATACTATTTTATTTTAGCTTTGTGACCTAGATTTTGACCACAGATGACCCATATTCTAACTTGACCTAGAAATCACCAAACAACTTTTTTGCCAATTTTCAAAGATATTGGATCAAAATAGTAGCCTCTAGTGCAAGAGTTTTCCATATTTGGGCTGTGTGACATAGTTTTTGACCACAGATGACCTATATTTGAACCTGACCTAGAATTCACCAAAACCACTTTTCTGAACCAATTATCAGAATACACATTGTATTTGGATCAAACAGTAGCCTCTAAAGTGTTAACAAAGGTTTTTCCATATTTGTAATGTGAGACCTAGATTTTGACCTCAGATGACCATTAATCAAACTTGACCTAGAAATCATCAAAACAATCTTTCTGACCAATTTCAAACATACTTGAATCAAAACAGTAGCCTCTATAGTGTTAACAAGAATTTTCCATATTTGCGCTATGTGAATTAGTTTTTGACCAAAAATAACCAAGATTCGAATTCGAACTAGAAATCACCAAACCAACATTCCTGACTAATTTTCAAGATATTTTGATCAAAACAGAGCCTCTAGAATGTTGACAAGGTTTTTTCTCATATTTGGGCTGTGTGTCCTAGGTTTTGACCCCAGGTGACCCATATTCGAACTTGACCTAGAAATCATCAAATCAACCTTTCTGACCAATTTCCAGGATATTTTGATCAAAACAGTAGCCTCTAGAGTGTTTACAAGGTTTTTCCATATTTGTACTGTTTGACCTAGATTTTAACCACAGATGACTCATAAATCAAATTTGACCTAGAAATCATCAGAATAACCTTTTTGACCAATTTTCAGGATATTTGGATCAAAACAGTAGCCACTAGAGTGTTAACAAGATTATTCTACTTTAAGCTCCTGTGACCTAGTCTTTCATCCCTGATGACCCATGCTCAAACTCATTCGAGCAATAACTTTAACAAACAATCCTGACCAAGTTTGATGATGACTAAGGCAAAAATGTGACCACTTACAAACAAAATGTGGACGACCGACTGACATTCAACGATCCTAAAATCTCACCCTGATCTAGCTCAGGTGAGCTAAAAATAGCCCATAAATAAATATTTTGTAAACATAGAGTACATAGAATTGTTATTAAGGTGACAACAGACACTTTCCGTGGTACTCACATAAATGTCATTTAAACCAACTTATTTAGTAATAATTGTTATTTATTTAATCTTTGTGCATTAAATGTCGTTGATCATCATAAAAAAAATAACATATTTTGAAAATAATGCCTTTGTAAATGATTGAATTTTTAATAAAAAATCCTAAAATTTAAAATCGTCATATCAAAGTTATATTTTTTATTTTTTTGTCATCAAACTTTTGGAAAATAAACATACTTATAATATCTGGGGAACAGTGTCTCAAATTTTTTCTATCTTTTCTCAAAAAAAAATATTACGTAACGTCAAACATTTTATGCGACTTTTTTCACCATACATATTACGTAATTAAAGATAATTAAGTCGCTGATTGAGCAAAACAAAATCCCTGACACGGTTTCCCTCCGTAAATGAATTTCCTTTCATGTGCTTTAAACCGCATGTTAATTGCTTGATTATTAAAAAAAGTTATGCCGATTCAAAGTTAGTCCGACCCGCATCAAACGAAGTGTCATAAATCGGCTGTTCTCTCTCGGACCCCTACGTTTCACGCTAAATAATTGCATAATACACAAATATCGCACCAGAGAGGGTCACAAGTTTGCGGTCACATACTCTAAACAACATTTTTATGACCCAGTGACATCTGACCAATTAAAAAGTTGCTGATTAATATCAATTTATAACAGAAATATCTTCAAATCTTAACGTGATTTACCTTCCGTCTGATATCGTCGCACATGTCACGTGACTTTCGGTAAAATTTGAGGCACTCGGGTGGGGGAAATGGAACGTAGCGGGGTATTTAATTGTTTCACTTTTGAAGTTTATTATTATTATTATTATCATCGGCATTATTATTATATTACACCAGTGTCACTCTGTCTGTGTATTTCGTGTATGAAATTCCGTTAAAAATATAAATTAAAATAACAAAAAACTGAGCTTCTGACGTCTTTTAAAGTCCACGGTAGAACGGGATATTTTTTCCTCCAAATTGATATAAATGCTTAACATATTTTAATAGAAATAAAAGGTATCACTCGATTCATTATGATCTGACCTTCTTGACTTCAAATGATCATGAAAATCATCTATTGCACGCATAGAGATCCAGTTTCTACTGGGATATACAATTAAATTCCATAATTTTGTTCCAGGTTTATTAGTTACTGTGTTTCGATTTACTGGTCGCGAACAAATTTATTCAAGCATTCACTGATAATATACTCGTATTTTATTATCTTTTTTTTTTGATTCATAGAGGGAAATAATCATCCTTTAAGACAACCTAAAATGGTTTAGAAATTTGTCAGGGGACACCTTAAATTACCACAAGTCATAATAGTGGCGTTCACATAAAAAATGTTTTCTGTTTTGTTGTTTTTTACTTGACATTGTTAGAAAACGAGGCTTGAATGAAAAAAGCAAGCCCTTGAATACGTACAAAAGTCCATTAACTCAATGTAATTTCTATCAGATTAACGGGACAGACAAATTATTTTCACACATTATGGATATTTTAGCATCAACCACGTTTTGGTTCGTGCGATTTGCGGCTATATATTTATGTTTCATTTTACATTATGTTACGTACATTGCCGGACAATTTCTTATTTTATAAAAAAAAGGCCAAATAAAAGGTAGACGATATTCATAAAAGATGTACGGTATTTGTACGATACATGAATTACGGGTAGTATATGGACCGGTAATTCACGCATATATGGAACTACCGAGTTTTTCCCTTATTGATGCCTCAACACGGGGCGGAGCGTTATCGATAATTGACAGGTTACGCGAATAGCAGATTAAAAAATGCGACAGGTACCGTTTTAAAACGTTTAAAAACACATTTTTTGGACTAACTACTTCCAAAATTAAATCACGAATGTGTTCAGAAAAGGTTGATAAATCTACTAAGCAAAAAATCTCATTTTAGGTATTTTCAGTCATAATTGACTCCGTTGTCACCTTAAGTAGAATTATGCAGATAAGTTGAATTTGTGAAAGTGGATTGCCCTGCTTTGAATTCGGAACTATCTATTTGAATTTTCAGGATTTTCAATATCAAAATACAAGCATCCAACATGTTTATAATGCCTGGTCAGACAATATAGATGTCAAAACTAAATCAAAATTTTAATTTGCGAGGCTAAATATTTGGAATGTTCATTTTTGTTTTTATAAAATTTATATGATACTAGTGTACAAGTCTTCAATTCATCAAATTTGAGAAACTTAAATCCCTTGTGAAAGTTTTTTATAATGTATACATCTATCAAAGGCATCATGTTCATTCTCTGCAGGGTAAAGGTTATAGTAAATTTACCACATATAAATAAACACAAATTACTTGAGTAAAAATAAAATAACCTTGCTTTTTCTTTCTTGACATGTGACTTGACCTTCTCAAGTTCTGCTTCAAAGTCTTTCTTCATGCCTGTCATCAATGTCTTGACGTAACTCACATCTTTATCTTGTCCCTATTATAATACAATTATATATGTGCTTATCTTGGTGAAAATGTTTAGTACTATATAACCAGGTGATAATATCTAGTACTGTTTTACCTTGTGATAAAATTTCATCCTAAAAAACCTGGTAATAATATATAGAATTGTATAACCTGGTGATAATATTAAGTACTGTATAACCTGGTCATAAGATTTGGTACTGTATAACCTGGTGATTATATTTAGTACTGTATAATTTTGTTATATTAAGTACTTCATAATCTTGCTATATTTAGTATTGTATAACCTGATAATATTTAGTACTGTATAACCTTGTGTTATTTATAACTGGTTAACCTTGATATATTTACTACTGCTTAACTTTGCTAATTAAGTACTGTATGACCTTGTGAAATTTAGTACTGTATAATCTAGTTATATTAAGTACTGCATAACCTGGTTAAGTATTAAGCACTGTATAGGCTGGTAAAATATCAAGTACTCTATAACCTTGTTAAATTTAGAACTGAATAAACTGATTATATATCAAGTACTGTATTACCTTACTTTATTTATTACGGTATAACCTTGTGATATTTAGTACTGTATAACCTGATATTTAGTACAGTTTAATCTGGTTAAAAAACACTGTTTAACCATATTATATTTAGTACTGTACAACCTGGTTAAAAATTTAGTACTATATAACCTTGTTACATTTAGTGCTGTACAACCTGGTTAAATATTTAGTACTGTATAACCTTGTTATACTTCATAGATCAACTAGGCAAAGCAACGTTCACAGGACGCATTGGCATCTGGTTATTTGCATTTTAAAAGATTATATGTCAGTCCTGTGAGCAGCAGAAATTTCAGTGAATAGGGGGGTAATCATTTTTGGGGACACTTTGTCGATCAACACACATCACATCTTTACCATGAATACTCAATTTTAAGGTTGCTTTAGTGGTCATTTCTTATAATGTAAGTCTATAGGGAAACTAGACCTATCACTGAAGGTGATTAATACCCCCACCAGCAACTCTGACTTTTTGAAAAAAAAGTTGTCTAAAGAAAAATTTGAAGACAAACTATCAACTGTGTACAAAGAAATATTTCAATTAATTGTAATCGCAACTGGGGTTGCTATACACCAAGTTTGATTACAATATCTCATTCCTAACTCTAGTTATTGTCCGGAAACAATTTTCTATTTTTAGTAACACTTTAACGGTGACCTTGACCCTAGGGGGTCCAAATGCAATACCAACCCAGGTCTTCATATAAGCCTTCCTATACACCAAATTAGATTACAATATCTCATTCCTTACTCCAGTTATTGTCCAAAAACCATTTTTCTATTTTTTGTAACGGTGACCTTGACCCCAGGGGGCCCAAATGCAATACCAACCAAGGTCTTCATATAAGCTTGTTATACGCCAAGTTTCATAACAATATCTTATTCCTAACTCTAGTTATTGTCCGGAAACCATATTTCTATTTTTAGTAACACTGTAACGGTGACCTTGACCCTAGGAGGTCCAAATGCAATACCAACCCAGGTCTTCATATAAGCTTCCTTTACACCAAATTAGATTACAGTATCTCATTCCTAACTCTAGTTATAGTCAGAAAACCATTTTTCTATTTTTCCTTACGGTCCTTGACCTTGACCCCAGTAGGCCCAAATGCAATACCAACCCAGGTCTTCATAAAAGCTTGCTATACGCCAAGTTTGATAACAATATCTCATTCCAAAGTAAAGTTATTGTTTGGAAACCATTTTTCTATATTTCGTAACGGTGACCTTGACCTTCACCCCAGGGGGTCCAAATGCAATAACAACCCAGGTCTTCATATAAGCTTGCTATACACCAAGTTTGATAACAGTATCTCATTCCTAAGTCAAGTTATTGTCTGGAAACAATTTTTCTATTTTTTAGTAACGGTGACCTTAAAACCTTGACCCCAGGGGGTCCAAATGCAATACCAACCCAGGTCTTCATATAAGCTTGCTATTCACCAAGTTTGATTACAGTATCTCATTCCTAAGTCAAGTTATTGTCCGGAAACCATTTTTCTATTTTTAGTAACGGTGACCTTGACCTTGGCCCCAGGGGGGCCCAAATGCAATACCAACGCAGGTCTTCATATAAGCTTGCTATAGGCCAAGTTTGATAACAATATCTCATTCCTAACTCTAGTTATTGTCCGGAAACCATTTTTCTATTTTTAGTAACGGTGACCTTGACCCCAGGGGGTCCAAATGCAATACCAACCGGAGTTTCCACATAAGGTTGCTATATACCAAGTTTGATTACAATACCTCATTCCAAACTCTAGTTATCGTCCGGAAACCATGATGTGGACGGACCGACGGACGGACGGACCGACCGACCAACCGACCGACAAGCTGACTCCTATATACCCCCCTAAACTTCGTTTGTGGGGGTATAATTAGTATGGTAGTCTGACCATAACCAGGTGATATTACTTAGGTCTTTTCAACCTGGTAATAATATTTAGTACTCTATAACCAGGTGATGATTTTTAGTACTTTACAACCTGGTTATAATATTTAGTACTCTATAACCTGGAGATAATTTTTATATACTATTTTGATAAAAGTTTTACATCAGGGAGTTTAACTTGTTCTGCAACAGGAGGTTCGGGAACGTTGGTTGTTGGTCTTTCCTGAGCCTCTTTCTCCAAAATTGTGATCCTCGCCATCAGTCCTTTATTCTTTTCTTGTTCTGCACGATACAAATCTTTCACTTTCTGCAGTTCTGCAAAGTATTTCTCTATGTCACTCTAAATTAAATAAAAAATACAATTACGTGTAACAATTTAATTTATACGATAATTTAAAATCTTTATTAATTTAAAATAAGAGTTAAAATAAGATGTCACAAAAATAATTTTGAAGTGTATTTGTGACCAGATAAAAAACTACACTGTTGATAAATTGTTTTAGAATATTAACATGAACTAAAAAAAACTGCCGGGGGGGTTAATGACTCAGAAGTTTAAGGAAAAGTTCAAGCTCCTCTTAACTTTATTTAGGTGTTTTATAAACTTTAAGCAAATCAAAATGGATGGCCTAATGGGATTTTTAGTACATTGTTTGGAAAGAACTTGTTTGGAAAGAACTTGTTTGGAAAGAACTTGTATACACAAGGACCTTCTTTGTATATATACTAGAATGTTTCCATGCTTTGTGACAGTTGAATCGTCACAAGCAGAATGAGTTTAGTTCTTTCCTTTTATAGATATAAACAGCTTCATAGGAGCGTCCGTGGCTGAGTGGTAAAGGTTGTTGACTTCAAACCACTTGCCCCATACAGCTGTGGGTTCGAAACCCTGACAGGCACTTTGAATTCTTTCATGTGAGGAAGCTATCCAGCTAGCTCACAGAACGTTGGTGGCTTTACTCAGGTGCCTGTTCGTGCCTGAAAAAATGCAACAGAAGAGCCCCTTTCCTCTACCAGTAAAGCCCAATCAAAAACAGTCAGTACATATACTGAAATTTTCCCCATAAAATGATGATTTTTTTCTCCCAAATTTAAGATATTTAGTGGGGTAAGTGACATCTACAATTTTTTTCTTTTTGCCCCATATGAAACAAAGTAAAAGAAACGTTTCATCTAATAATAATGACCTTTGCCCCCTCTAGTTCCTCTTCCACTTCTTTCAGCTTTAGTTCAGTTGATGAATCAACAACCTTCACATAAACTTTCTCTGCAAAAATAATGTTATACAATTCATGCAAACTATACAATAAAAACAAAATTATAATGCTACCCTCATAATAGAAAACAGTGACAAACTAAGGTATGATTGTAAACAGTTATTACAAACAAGAGGGTCATGATGGCCCTGAGTCGCTCACCAGAAACAACTGCTTATCAGTGTTGGAATGTCAATATATTCTATTAAATTTGAGCATAGAATATGTTTAAACAATAATTTGAAGAAATGCCATGACCTGAGGCATTTAAGCTTTAGCTTAAACGGGGCAAATCAAATTAATATGAGCAAACTTGATAAAAGACTACCTAAGAATGCTACTAAGTTTGGTGATGATCTATCAACTATTTCAGTAGGAAATGATGTTCGGAGGCTTTTTCTATTTTTAGCTTTAGTGGCCCCTAAAAGGGGCCAATCAAATTAATATAAGCAAACGTGATAAAAAATTACCTAAGAATGCTACAGACAAAGTTTGGTGCTCATCCATTAATTAGTTCTGTAGGAGAAGATGTTTAAACGTATTTCTATTTTTAATTTTAGCGGCCCCTAAAAGGGGCTTATCAAATTAATATGAGCATAATTAATAAAAGACTACCCAATAATGCTACAGACAAAGTTTGGTAATCATCCATCAATTAGTTGTGTAGCAATAGACGTTTAAATGTATATCTATTTTTAATTTAAGCGGCCCCTAAAAGGGGCCAATCAAAAAATATGAGCAAATTGATAAAAGACTACCTAACAATGCTTCAGACAAAATTTGGTGATCATTCATCCATTAGTTCTGTAGAAATAGACATTTAAAGGTATTTCTATTTTTAGCTATAGAGACCCATAAAAAGGGCTTATCAAATTAATATGAGCAAACTTGATAAAGACTACCCAAGAATGCTACAGAAAAGATTTGGTGATCTTTTATCAATTAGTTGTGTAGAAATAGACATTTTAAGGTATTTCTATTTTTAGCTTTTGCAACCCCTAAAAGGGGCTAATCAAAATAATATTAGCAAACTTGATAAAAGACTTCATAAGAATGCTATAGACAAAGTTTGGTGATCATCCATCAATTAGTTCTCTAGAAATAGACATTCAAGTGTGACTGTCACAAGGATGCTACAGACCAAATTTGAAGTAAATTGGCTCAGTAGTTTCAGAGAAGAAGACAATTGTTGACGCATGACGACGGACGCCCGAGCATCCCCCTTTGATACTAATAGCTCACCCTGAGCCTTCGGCTCTGGTGAGCTAATAATGATATAACAGTTACTCCACATGCTTATTTTGATCTTAAAAGGAAACAAGACATTACTATTTTTAAAGAAAATAATTTCGAAATTATAATAAACATTTAATGAGGTCAAACTTGTGAATTTGGTCCATGTGACTTCCTTATAAAATTTTTTATTGAATGAATTTATGAGTGACCCCTTCTTTTGTGATTCACTGTAAAATCCCCTAACCACTGCAGTATTGGTGTTTCAATGTTGCACAAAATGATATAAAATTACCTAACCTCTATTTGCACACCACAAAAGTCGCATGTTTTGCAAAACAAGATATACATTACAGATGTTATGCCAAATGATTCTGAACACATTTAATGCTGAATCAGTTAACTAACAAATTACAGCTAAAGAATAACAACAAATAACACTCATATTAAAAAGAAAATTTGAATCTCCCTATACTTTAAAGCTCCATGTTGCTGAGGGGTTGCCTTTTCGGGTTGAGGCGTTAGAATTGCAGCCACTGTTTAACCCTGCGTGATCTTAAGAGATGACTAAATGGGTTCAAATTACTGGAATTCATGCATCTCTAAACTTCAGAAGAAAGGGTGCTTTTGATCCCCGGTGTTGCTTCAGGTTTGTAACACCCCGAGGATAGCCAAAATCATCTTTACAATTTCGGTGCCATATGACCTTAATTGTGTGGTTGCCCTGCCGCAAAACCAAACAAAACAAGTAAATTGAGGTTTTATTGCAAAACTGCAGTAACTTATAATATGAAATAAAGAAGGACGTACAACAGTCTTAACGGTCAACCCTTGAAATACTATGTAAAAGGATAATATCTTAACATACCAGGTGACGGAGGGGGTGAAGGGGTTGGAGGGGGAGTTGGTGTCCTGTTCAACTCTTTCAACTCTGATTGTAGATATTTAATCTTGCTAGTTAACTCCGCAATCTTGTCATGCATTTCCTTATTCTTTGTTTGTAGCTTTTCCTAAATACAAGAAATCTAAATATTAATATTACAAATACTGTTGGAATTGTTGGAAATTTTTATTTTGTAAAATTTGCAATTTTTTTTACATTTTTACAAGATAAGTGCACATTTTTCATGCGCTTTGCATAATGAAGCACATTTTACTTACAACAGAGTATATTTCTGACAAAATTTGCAGTTACTTATGACACATTCTTGACATCCCCATTCAAACATAGTCTGGCTACTGTAAAAATTATACTCTACAATTTCACAGTAAAATTAACAAAATATAATTTCACTGTCTTCTGAAAAGCATGTAATAAAACCTCAACTACAAGGTTACAAATGTCCCCCAAGTTTGACACTTACCAGAGCATTTTTGGTATCAAACAGTTCCAGGGATTGTTTGTTAAATTTTCTCTTCTGATCGTCTATCTCTCTGCCAAGTTTATCACACTGCGACTTGGCTAAATTAAGTTTCTAAAACAAAACGGTATAATCAACAACATGTGACATAACATAACATAACATAGCATAACACATAACATGACATGACATGGCATATCATAACATAATAATTATAACATAGCATAACATGACATTACATATCAAAGCATAGCATAACATAATACATATCATTTCATAACATAGCATAACATGACATAACACAACATAATTCATATCATATCATAACAATGCAAATCATAGAATAACATGACATGGCATATCATATCATAACATAGCATAGCAAAGCATAGTATAACATGACAGCATAGCATAACATGACATAACATAACATAACAAAACATACAATAACCTTTATTATAAGATTGATTTAATCTAGGGTGGTCAGTGTCTTTTTTTTTTCATAATACTCGTACATTTATTTTTGTAAAAAAAAAAAAATAATTTTCCATGTTAGGGATACCTGAATATAGATATTACTTTCTATCTGAATTTCGAAGGATTATTGTTCAATCAGGTTATTGTTGTTTTTTTAAAGGGACTCAAAAGAGGTTTTTTTACATGATGAGATTGGAAATATTTTTCCAAAATTTGTATACAATTTGATGTAGGTCTGGTCTAATAACATATCTGCAAATTTTCAGATCATTCCTTCATCTTATATTTCCCTAAATCATTATTTTGATTGTGTAAAATGACTTAAAAATGGGTCAAAGACAGAAGGGTTGCATTAATTTTTGTATACCAAATATCATGATGCTGTGATGTTTACCACTGACCATTAATGTCGAAAATTTAACTAAGTCGGTAAACAGGAAGTGGATGAGCAACACACCTGAAATCGAATCCCACAGTATGGGACCACATGTCAATGCTGTATGCCAAATATCAAGAGGCTGTGATAAGTAGTTGCCCAGAAAACTGTTACAAAAATTTCCTACCATTTGTGAAGAAAAAATGTTTACCCCTTGCAATTCCAAACACTGTTTTTTCTTTTCATCCAACTCTTTCACGCGTTTGTCGTATGTTTTCATCATGTAATCAAACTGTTTCTGACACAGTCTAATCGCTGAAATATTTCATAAAATAAAAGTAGCTGAGATAATAAACTGAGATAATATTACATATTGAAGATGCCCCCATAAATGAAATATATAATAAGTTCAATAAAAACAAACGCTTTTCTTTAGCTTTCGACGATTAGTCTACTTCAGAAAAAATTGACGTTTATAAAATAACAAATGACAAATGACGCAACGTCCGTTTTTTTGTGTTTTTTTTTTTTTTTAAAGTGACCTACATCGCCTGAGAATTGAACCCGGGTCACCCAATTTACATTCAAATGCTATACAGTCTAACTTGCTCATGCGACCACGTGTATTAAGCGACTTTTGTCTTAAACGACCACTTTAAATTCCCCCCATCATTTTCTCTCTATATCTTTAATGTCTTAAGCGACTTTTCCTCAACGCGACCAGCGACCGCTAATTAGTCACCTAATTGAGATCAATCTTTTCATAAAACGACCACTTTTACCTGTCAAGTAATTGTGTTTTTAGAGAACGCTGCCTCGTTAAGTGACAAGTGTCAAAAATCAAACACAACAAATAAACGTGTGAAAAACTCTATTTCCCAAACCGTTTTAGCGTATGCAAATGAAGTTAAGTATATGCGTGACGTGTATTATCCAATAATATGGAATAAACAATGCAACGCTCCGCCCCTACTGAGATGGTGTATACGCTTTGCTTGTTGACATTTAGACTGCATTGAATTGACCTTGAACTTGATCAGCAATTAAAATAATCGTAACAATTATATGTAGTTTGTTTATTTCAAACGAAAAAATGCACAACAGAAAGTATCTTCACTAATAGGGTCTCGTGTTGGAGTAAAGGACAAACAACGGAGAAGTTAAAAAGTTCTGGAAATAATGTCAAACATGTACGTAATGGATCAAAACTATTTTGTCTATAAATATCAGAAAGTTATTTTTACATAAGCATCCATTTAGATAATCGGAGCGTACTAATTATTCAACATTTATATAACAAGAGCCACCGCCGGGCGGGGGCAACGCTCGACTTTTTACTTTTTCTAAATGCAAACATAGAAAGGTTTGAACATATATTGATGTTTCCTTTTTATAAATTTAGTTGGTCTGTCTTGTCACATTAGTTTTGTTTATATATTTTGTATATATATATGAATAGAAACATTAAGCAA